AAATTACAGTTTAACAGAGATTCACATAGAAAACAGCTGTTTTAAATTGTAATAATATTTCACTATTTTTTTTTATTTTTTATCAAATAAATGCAGCCTTGGTGAGCAGAAGAGACTAACAAAGATTAAAGCATCTGCAGACTCACCTGTCCAAAGATCTCAGGCAGTCCGAGCACCTGCCCGATGAAAACGCCCAGACAGATGAAGATGGCGTGAAACTGACCGATGGAGCCGCGCACCTGCCGAGGAGAAATCTCCCCCAGATACATGGGCAGCACGCTCAGAGACACACCTGACAGACAAACAGCTCATGGGTTTTATTATCTTTTCCTGACACTCATTCCGTGCTAACAATGCTCATTTCTGTGCATGATGCTCTATTCCACATGTGGAAGAATATGTTGTGTTTTCGGGAATTTTGTTTAAAAGTTAGAGAGTAAGTATTTTTATTCTTATGAACTGAATCCAGTCTCATTTTGCTTTCAGTGATGCCTGTGAGAAACAATCGAGATATTAACGAGATCCATGAGTTCATGAGCTGTTTCACTGTGATTGAGTATCTGATTATCTGACACTTTCTTTTGCAGCCAATCAGGACTGACCTGAATCCATGCCGATGATAAACCGACCAATGATGAGCATCTCAAAGGATCCGGCCGTCTCTCCTAGAGCCAATAGGAGCGCAGCGATCAGAGCCAGAGCGTTATTGGCCAGAAGAGTTCCTTTCCTACACATTATTATTATTATCATCATCATTAAAAATAACAATATGAATATGTGTATAAAGTGAATATGAGCTCAATATGAATAAATACTGACAGCTGTAGACTAGAACCGCACTGAGATGACAGTCAGACCCCTGAAATCTCTTTATGAACAACAAAATGAGAATCTCCAACTCTGAGGAAAGCATCATACTGTAATATCTGCCTCATCTACAGTCCTGAAGACCACTGAGACAGGACGAAAACACCTAGCAACCACACACAACACCCTAGCAACAGCAGAGTGATGCCCTAGCCAGCACACACACACGGCAGCAGTCACTGGTTTTGACAAAGGTTGCCTGTCTGTGCTGCTGTTGATCTGAATTATTCCACAGCGCCGCGCAGATGCTGATGATCCCTGACAGCGACGGGCCGGTCTCCATGACGACCGCCAGCACCTGACCAGAGCTAATAATGATCGTCATAACGATGAGCAATATTTAAAATAAACAAAGTCAGAATAAAAACATGAGATATTTGATTAGTTTAGCTGTATGTCACGTGACCAATAACCAACATCTGAATGGGTTGTTAAATTATTGAAATATTAAATCATAAAAATGTAAAATTAAAAGAAGTAATTTAAAGATAAAACACTTGACAGAAAAACATGAAACATTTGTGAAAACATGCATTCAATTATTGAAATATTAAAAATATTAAATCAGTTAATTTCAAATTGAAAATAATAAATAATTTAATCATTGACTGACATCAGAGAACTGTGAACATGTGAATGTGTTGTTAAATTATTTAAATAATAAATTTATATCTCAGTGAGACTTCAAGTCAATATTTGAGCTCAAGTACAAACTTTTAAGAATCCCTGTCCTGAAATGTAATAAACGGTTAACATACAGCAGGACTGTTTGTGCTGAATGACGGTCAGATCTGATAACATCCTGCAGCGATTCCTCTGGAATGATAAATCAGTGGTGAGTGTGTGTGTGAGTGAGTGAGTGCGTTTATGTGTGTGTGTGTGTGTTTATATGAGTGCGTTTATGTGTGTGTGTGTGTGTGTGTTTATAAAGTGACGTGTAGCCAAGTGTGGTGTCCCATATTCGGCATTTGTGCTCTGCTTTTAACCCATCCAAGTGCACACACACAGCAGTGAGTAGTGAACACACACCCGGAGCAGTGTGTGTGTGTTTATATGTGTGTGTGTGTTTATATATGTGTGTGTGTTTATATGTGTGTGTGTGTTTATATATGTGTGTGTGTTTATATGTGTGTGTGTGTTTATATATGTGTGTGTGTTTATATGTGTGTGTGTGTTTATATATGTGTGTGTGTTTATATGTATGTGTGTTTATATGAGTGTGTGTGTGTGTTTATATGAGTGTGTGTGTGTGTTTATATATGTGTGTGTGTTTATATGTGTGTGTGTGTGTTTATATGAGTGTGTGTGTGTTTATATGTATGTGTGTTTATATGAGTGTGTGTGTGTGT